TTACCATTTAGTACCAATAAGTCCAGTTTTTGACGCGCTTGACTTTGATATAAAATACATTTGTGATATCATTGATACTCTGAGTTGTAGAGGGGAAGGCAAAGGTTATGTGACACCCTGTACATTGGTCACAAACTTTACCACACTAATGGAATGAAAAGATAAGAATTGATTCTTCTTTTGCAAATCTTTTTTTTTCGAACAAAAATCAACTTCTATTACTTCGGTAGGACTTGATAAATCATTTTTGACTATGGTCATGTTCTTTTGAAAAAACATTTTATTCTTTATCAATTTTCTAGATTCGAAACTGAGAACAATTTATTTTAAGACTTGAGGCTACTCTGTTGATATTGACAACAAAAGAAAAACATTTATGACTAATCCGTCTGAAATTTCTTCAATATTATTTTAGTTATCAAATATTGTTTATCATGATGATGTACGGTTAGAACGTTTAATGAATATCTCTGGTTATTTACGTGATATTGGCTCTCCAACTGAACCAGATATTGAATCAATGAAAAAGAATATTGGAATATACATGACGTGAGGTTTTTTTTCTTTAAAAATTCAAAGAATAAAAAAAAAAATTGTTATCTTATTAGGCATCTTGTCTATTTTTCTTCATATATTTCTACAATATCAACATTAGCAAAATTTTTTAATTCATCTTTGAAACTTGTCGATTCTAAACAACGTTTATTTAATTCAAGTAATGGTTTTGATGAACCATTATCATCATCTTCATCATTCTCTAATGGCTTGACACCACTCCGTAATTCATTTTTTTTTCTTTTCTTTTTATTTGCATGAAAATAATTTTGTTTTTATTATTTCAAGAATGTGAATTATCTGTACAACAACAAACTGAATCTGAGAATAAAACACATTGTTCACCTAAATTATCATTAAATAATAATAAATCTAAACAACAAACTGATGTAGCAAAACAAGCTCGTTCCATAGTACCAACACATAATGGTACACAAACTGGATTAGAAGTACGATGTGAAGAAACTCAAACTGATCGAATGCCTGGACCAGGTTTTATTCTTGCTGAACATCAAGATTATCTTCGAAGATATTCAATGGATGAAGTAAATTATTGTTTTCTTTTCTTTCTTATCAAAAAGTGTTCTTATTTTCTTTTTTTTTTAGTTAGCAAAATTAACACCTGCAGATCTTGTCGCTGATGGACTAGATCAAAATACAGCTCAATTACTTTGTGGTGCTTTAGATGATTTAAAGTAAAAACCAAAAAGAAAAATAATTCTAATTGCAGTTCTTCGTTGATTTTACTTCTATTTAGACCAATGAGTGTTCATTTAAGTAGTAGTACTAAAAATTCTCGATCGCCATGTACTTTTGTTCAAATGCCTTCATCATCGTTGTCTCCACCACCATCATCACAGCCAACATCATTACCACCATTGTTAGATGCTGCTTTAATGACTGTTGTACAACAACAACAACAACCATCTCGTACGCCGCCACCAGGTTTTGATCGAAATCAATATGATCCTATTTTAATTAATTTAGCCGGTGCTCATCCATCTCTATCGTCAAGTTCAAGTCCAAAATTACCTAAAACAGGAACAACTCAATCAGGAAAAAATGGTATTCCACCACTTCCACCACCACCATTGCCGTTGCCACCACCACCATCATCAACATCAAATTGTCCATCACAAACTCAACATCATGTACCATTATTACCTGCACATCCATTTCTATGTAATTCATTTGAGCCATATTTATTTCCACTAACTTTTCCTCCTGGTTTTCCATCAGCAACGCCTGATTTTATGCGATTAATTGCTCCAAATATGGCAGCTGTAGCCACTAATCCAACAAATACTAGTTTTGTACAAACATCAAATGCTTCACAAGGATCTGTATCTAATTCTCGTTCAACAGCACAATCCAATGGTACGAATACACCACCAGAACAAAATGGACAAAATCATCATCCATCTCCACCACCTCAATCATCATCTCGTCATCAACAACAACAACAGCAACCACAGCAACAGCAACCACAACAACAGCAGCAACAACAACAACCACCACAACAATCCCAGCAACATCATCAACCACAATCACATCATCGTCATAGACAATATTATCAATCTGATTCTTTACAATTTCAACAACAAAATGGATTTCATGCTCAACAACGACAAACACAAACATCTTATCCTCAACAACAACATATGAAACCAAAAGCATGTTATACGTGTGGCGATCTTGGACATCTTGCATTTGCCTGTCCTGAACAGTATTCATCTGATGCAACTTATCCGCATAATACTAGAGGTAAAAAAAAAAGAACAAAAAATTTATTTCAACAAATAATTCTATTATGAAAAATAAATTTTAGATGGTTATAAACTTGATTATCGACCACGACAGAGTACACCAACTAATATTCAACAGCAACAAAGGCAAATGCGTTCGAACTCAAATTCAAAAACGAAAGTTCGCGATAATAGTTAAACAGTTAGATTTTGTTCCTTTTCTTTTTCATTTTTTTTGTTCTTCCTTTACATTTTTTTTCTCTCGTTTATACTCATCAAAACAACGCTACATATCACGACTATCTTTTTGCTATTATCCCTGTTTGCCTTCACTTCTTTTCTTTTTTTTCGTATGATAGATTTTCTCATTCTTTTTGTCTTTCGTCTCTCGTTTCATTTCTGTAACAGCGACATACGTCTTTTTTTACGACATATATTCAACTCGTCCCAACTTCTTTAATATATATATATATTTGCAAGTATTCTTTATATAAAAAAAAAGAATGATATTACTCTCAAAAGCATAAAGAATATTCATCATTTGTTTCTCTTTTTCCTATTGATTTTTATAATAAGATAGACGAGAATATATTCTACGCCAGGTAAAGTGAAGGCAAAAAGTTTTGAAACTGACTATTTTTGACTTTTTTTCCGAATAGTAGCAGTTAAAACAAATCGGAGAAAAAATTTGACTAGTTGAAATGATTTTTCATCAGAAGAAGTATTTGTCAAATTCTCATTAGCAAATTTGAGTGAAAGACATCTGGAAAACCAAGACTCACAAAAACTAATTTTCTAAGTTCCATCAAAAATGTTTTGCAAACAAGTTCATCTGATCGAGAAAACATTTATGAATAAAATAAGATGTCTGCGAACTCTCCAAGATCTATGTTCAGCGAACGACAACTATTGTGAGATCGATCGAAAAGACTAGTTTCTATGAAAATTTATATGAATTTACTGTGTTTTATACTTTGGAGTCTTTTATAGAATAAGTGCAAGTCACCGAAGATAGATCATGAAGAACTTGGAGGACATCTTGTTTTTTTTAGAAATGTTTTCTCTATTAGATGGGCTTGTTTTCAAAAGATTTTTGATGCAACCTAGACAATTGGTTTTGGAGAGACTTAGTTTTCCACAGACATTTCATTCAAACCTGTTAATGGCTATTAGAGAAGTAGTTCCTTCGAGAGGATATTGTTTTAATTAATCGAATTTTGTCTCCAGTTTGTTCTAGTAGTTACCGGTAAGGAAAAAAGTCAAAAAACCTTCGATTCTAAACTGTTTGTCTTCAGTTTATGGTCTAACATTTATAATATGATTTTATAATCGTCGAAAAATTACATTTAATCCAGCCTATTCGTGTTTAATATGAGCTCAACTGGTTATGGTTCGAGCTTATATTTACGAAGCCAAGTTCAAAGTGAACTCGATTCTGTTATTTTTGGTAACACAACTTGAAATTGACATCTATTAATATTTATGTTTCAATTTTCTTTTTTTTAATATTAAACTTATACGTTTGTAATTTCTTTTATGATATGATAATATATATGCGTCAATATGTGTAAAACATTAAACATGAAAAAAGAATTTTAACAATATCTTATCACAAGCAGCTAATTAATTTTAAATCATACTGACAAAATCAGTGTGCGTCAGAATAAAATCAAAAGCAATTAAACATTCATCGTTAGAGTGTCGAATCCTCCATCAACTGATGTATTTTCTATTAGAATTCCGAGAAAAAAAATTTTCGATTGAAGAAATTTTCCAAAAAAAAAGACAAAATAGTTGGAGTTTTGATAAATAAAATACTTCATTTCTTTTCAAGTACATAAGGCAATTGCAACATTATTGGATCGTTTGAGAAAAAAAAGAAGTAAGAGATATAATAAATTTTTGATTTAAAAGATGATAAGTTATGCGTTTTACTGAAATACATGAGACGAGAAAATGAATATACTACTATTAGTTTGACCAAGATATATGACAATCGCTAAACATTCATGAAAATGCCTGTATATGGCTTTTTCGCATATAATTCAAATAACTGCAGAAATACAAGAGATTTGCAAAATTCGTTAAAAATACTTAAAATTATAGATGGACAGAACTTTGTTTACATGCCATGACCGATAAGAACTAAACTAATATAGAATATATTTATGTTGACTCAAGTTATAAAGTAATGCGCATGTCATATTCTCATATGACACATTTCTCATTGAAAGTCTCGCGTGACACATTGACATTAGTTTTTTCTTTTTCTCATGAATTGGAAATTTTTTGACGCTGATATTTCCAATGATGATTGATCACAATGAATGGATGATATAATCGAAGTTTCGTCTCATACTGCAGTTCCACAAGAGATTTATAGATCAAGTAAAATGGAAAGTCTTGCATGATATTGAGCATATCAACCGAATTTTCAAGTTTTTTATTTTATAGTTTTGATAAACAAGAAACAATATAAATTTCTCTTTTTTGTTTAACGGATTTATTTCCCATTTATTCACTTTCATTCAACGGTACGCCATTCCTTTATCGATGAATTGTTCAATATTAGGTTTATTTTTTAATCTTACATGAGAGAAAATCGAACAGTAATTACACATCTGAAATTCAGGAAAAATCGAATGCATAACACTGTTCAGTCTTATATTTGAAAAGTGCATATTGTTATTTTTTAATTTCATCAACTTCCAAGATTTACATGCGAAAAGAAAAAATCGATTATACTACGTACATGTTTTAACATGAGATGGTAGCACAAATCGATCTTTTAGATCTTACCTTATTAGAGTGTTAGGTTTTTTTCAGATAAATTCCTGGTTATTTGAGTGATACTAAAGACTTATTAGAGAAACTTACTCTAAAAAGAATCATGAAGATTGATTGAAAACAAATCAAGATGTTGAACTTTTTCAAGTCAACTTTTAAATGTGGAAGCATAAAATTATTATGCAATAACTGACAATAAATGATTTTCAACTGATAAAAACTTCTTCATGTGGAAATGACGAAGAGCTTCTTACAAGTTCTTTCACCATCATAACATTGAATAACGAAGGAAGCATTCTACTTAACATTAGATGCCTATGTAAAGGCATTGAACGTCACATGGGAAGCAGGGTATAAGTGTAGAAGGTCACTCCCAGTGACACTCTGATCTAGTTCATTTATTTTTAGTATGAAGGGTCGTTATTTGTTACGATAATGAGCAATATAAGAGTGTTTTATTTTGGAATTTGATGAAAAATACAGATGATTTGTGAATGCATTATCCTGATTCATAGACATCTCATATTTGTATGAACTTACCTGTTCAATGAATACTTCATATTCTATCAGTTAATATTCAATTGAAGAATTCGTCTTCTACTGATTCATATTTATTTAAAAATATATTCAACTATCACCATTTACATAAACTTTTTGACTGATCACTCTCAGAAAGATTTTGTGTCAAAAACATTCAAGACTTTTCAGAAATAGTCATGTTTCTATTTCACATAGTATCGATCATGTTCTTTCCAACATTTGACTTAATTTTTTCACACTTTAGTTCAAATTCTTCTCGTGTACAAGACAATGATGATGATTGATCTTGACAAAATAAAATTCTCAATAGTTTTAGTAACCTAAATAAAAAAAAATCAACTATGCTCCAACAGTTACATCAATAACATGAATAAATATATAACACTTTTGACAATTCATTAAAACAGTATGATTTTAATTGATATACATGACTACCATTCATAATTACATAAGAACATGTTATCAACATATTATCAGCCAATTATGAATGTTGATGAGGAATATTTCTATTCTCTTCATGCACCATAAATATACGAAAATGATTATTCAAAATAATCTAATAAAAAAAAAACTGTTGACTCAATTCCATGATGAATTTCTGGAATATTTTTGAAAGTTAGATTTTCGAACTATCACTCTTTTTTCAATTCAGTTCAATCAACATTCTTAAAAAACATAATTTCATAAAAAAGGAAGAAAAAATTTCATTTTATTAGTTTTCGTTCTAATATCATATTTTTCATCACAAAAAAATAATAATAATAATAAATTAATCTAGATAATCATTATGATCTACTCATTTGCTTGTTTTTCATCTCACGCATATTACTACAATAATAAACAGAATAAAGGTAAAGGAAAAAAATGGATAAGTCGATTAAGCAAAACAAAAAGACGAAAAAAGAAAAGAATTAACGAGAAGAACAATACAAATAAAACATTTAAGGATAATAGAACACGAAACACACGTCAACAGAGAGAAAAAAAATAATAATTCTTTTATGTATAAGACATGGCTTTTCATTTTTTTTGTGATAAAATATATATACAAACAGACCGAAAAAAAAGAGTTAGATACTAAGAAAAACAAAAACAAAAAAAAATTTTTTTTCTTATTCAATATCCGAACCAGCTGATGACGATTCATCATGAATTGATCGTTGCCAAGTTTTAAGACGTTGTTCAAGTATTGTTTGCCATGCATATTGTAAACATTTACTTGGATAACGAATTTTATATGGTAGATTCGGTTTATTCGATAGAAATATTAAAGCATCTTGACCTATTCAAAGAATAAAAATTAGAAAAGATCCATAGAAATAAAAAAACAATAACTACATACGTTCATCACTTGATCGAAAATCAACAATATCACTTAACGAAATCGCATTACAAACCAGTTTTAAACGTGTATCGATTGCATTTCTTTGGGTCAATAGTAGCATGTCATTTAAGAGAACAGCCCAAGTCTAAAATAAAGTATAAGATGATCAATTTCAAGTTTTTCTATGCCTTCTATATAATAATCGAATTTATTTTCCTTTCCCGTATCATTAAGACGAAAGTTTACGATTCTGGTAGAGCTTATCGTAACCTAATGAATCATTCTTGACTATAGAAAAATTCAAAAGATGTCAACTCGAATGGTAGTTACATTTTATTAATAACTAGATCCGAATTATAAATCTCACAAAATAAGCTTTTCTTTAATAGAAGTTTGCATCCGATCAAATATTGAAGATCGAGTTAGCCTTCTCGCAGTGTTAAATCGCCTCTGAGGAAGGAAAAATCTGAATGAGACATTAAATTCTTCGAACTGTTTAATTATTTTTGAGTTAGGACTATGTGCATCATGTAGACTATATTGAGCTTTGAATACCCTAGAAGGAGTTCAAGCTGCTAAATGAATGCTGTGACTAATCTCAAGAAGATTGATATTTGTATTTCGACTTAAAACTTTGCACAACGACAGGCTTTGACAAAAAAAATTTATTGTGAAAGTTTCAAGTCTATTGATTTGCTCTTATTTTAAAATAAGAACATCGTATCTATCAGCGTATGTGATTGATGTCAACAACATGTTTTCATCATAGCTATATGTTAGACTACAAACGATGAAAACATTCGAAACTTTAATTAAAATAAACTATTCTCAATAAGACCTATTACAGTGCAAACCTTCGAGTCGAAATACTTATATCAATCTTTTTGAGGAGAACTATACTATATTAACTTAAAAAATATCATAAAAATATATTATCTCAGCACCAGTAAACTAATAGTCTAAACTCTTTTTTTAGAGTATTCGTATAGCTCATTAGGCTTTGCATAATACATATATAGACTTTCTATTTTTAAATTATTGATTACATCACTAAACTCATATTAATTAATCTGTCTTGTACAAATAGAAAATCAATTCGTTCTTTACCTCAATATAATTTTTATTTTCATTTTGTAATAAAAGTACACCCGAAAAAATAATGTGACGATTGTGACCAGTTAATAGAACAGGCTAAATTGCCAAAAAAAGCATATAGAAAAAAAAAAGATTCAATTTCATGGTTTATTCATACTTGAATATTTTGTGTAAATTGAAGTCGATTTTGTAATTCAATAATATCACTATCATCGGAATTATTCATTGATGATGATGATGATATACCATTGGCACTGTTCAATGACATTGTTGTTGTACAATGATGTTGACTTGTTGACGATTCAATGGATGAAACATGTAGTGAACATTGCCGTAACTCTACAAGTCAACAAAATAAGAAAAATAAAAATTTTTCTAATTATATTTTTACCTTTAAGAACATGCAAAAGATAATTAGCATCATTTGCATTTTCACAAGTACAACATAATGTATCCAATTGATTAACAAGATTATCGATATGAGTTAATGGTATCTGTAGAAACTGTTCAATTGTTAGATTTGAATTATTTCCATGAATAAATCTTTGAAAACTAGCACATTTTATTAATTGTTTTAATTGTAAACAAGCATCTGAATAGCCCGATATATAATGATTAAATGCTTCACATATTAATTGAACTTTTTCATGAAAAATCTTTCCGATATGAGTTATTATTGTTCGTTCGGATAATGATTGTAAGCGATTTAATTGATAGCGTGATATTGCTAAAATCTACAAAAAAATAACAAAATAAATTTTTTACTTTTCGAAAAAAAAAAATTTTTTCTTTTTTGTAATTACTTTTTCAATATTTTGAAATAATTTAGCATGTTCATTTGATGATATTAAATAATGTTTTAATGGACGTGAATATAATTGTACGCCAAGTTCAATTTGATTAATAAATTCTTTTTCAATTTCAATTAAATTTAATACTTCACGTTCGTAAGATTCTGAAAGAATTTTCTTTAAAACAGAAACAATAAAAATAAATTTATATTTCAAACAGAAAAATAAAAATCATATAAAAACATACTAATCGATTATCTTGATCACCGTCCGAATATGGATTACTTTCAGAACCAACACCTGATTCACTTCCATCACTTTGTGTTGTAATTTTTCTATCAATTGGTGACATAAGTAAAGATTGCTGATGATCAATATTCATTACAGTAGGTTTTGATATAAAACAATCATATGTTTTTGTTTTACATTGTTTATCGGATGATAAATATAAAGAATTGGTTGATATTAAATTTCTATTTAACGGTTCATGTTGTTCAACAGAATTTAAAACAATTTTATCAACTTTAATTGATGTTGATGGAATTATAAGACGATATAATTGAAGAGTTATCGGTATTGATAAACTTCTATTTATAATTTAAAAAAAAATTTTTATGGAAAAAAAAAAATAATTTATTTATTACTAACTTTATTAATTTTTTAACAGCTTTAGCTTGTGTTCGTGAAACATTAATATCATTAACTTGTAAAAGTATATCACCAGGCATAGGTCGTGTAGATGTTGAACTAATATTTGATTTTATTTCACTTATTTTACATGGAAATCCAGACGAAAATTGAATTTCATCACGATCATATATATCAACCTAGAGTTAATGAAAAAGATAAGTAAAATACACATTACGAAATCTTAAACGAATCAGTATGAATCTAAATATTAAACTAGATGCAAATAGATTTGTGAGTCTCAACCGAAGTATCAAAAATGCTGTCAGATCTCAATCAATTCATAAAAGAAAGTGACTTAGGCGCTATGCATAAAAAAACGTCCAGACACTTATGATGACTTTTCTGTCGTTTTTTTGAACATTTTATATGACATTAATTTTTTCTACAGACTTCAGTCCGTAATCCATGAATCTGGGTACTGAAGTCATTTACCTGAGAACTAGGCTCTTTTTAAAAGTATTTTGCAAACTGTGAGTCCAAAGGAAAGATCTTTCCCTGGAAGTCCTGTGTAAATGACAAAGATTTGTAGAGTAGAATGAAGAGCATCCAACGACTGAGAACTAGGTATTCTTTCTCCGCTTCTCATAGTTTCATGCTTGTTAAAATCAAACGAACACCATATTCACAATATTTTTGCTCTCACAATAATTCTTGTTTTCCTGAGCAATCATCTTAGATCTTTGTGAAGAGTTCTTCCACAACTTGAGAATTCCTAGTACTCAATGCTTAGACATTGCTAAATAACTTACCTTAAACACAAGTCCATTTGATTGATTATAATTTTGAGATGAATGTGGCTTCTTTAATGTTGCAATTTTTTTACTATGTAAAGATGAAGAAGTATCTACATTTAAAGCCATACATTTATGTCGTCCGATTGATTCCGGTAATAGACAATACCATTTATATTTTGATGAAGTCTTAAAACAAAAAAAAAAGAAGAATCAATCATTTTCTTTTACACCTTATATTATTTTAATAGAATATATCACATTGAGGAAAAAAGACAAAATTAAAACCTCTTTTTTTTCACACTTAAATTTAATCGATTTTCTTACCTTTATGCAACTAGTTGTTTTAAGAAGTGTCTTCATATTAAATGACATACAACCGATTAAATCACTTCTAAAATAAAAATATAAACAATATAATGAATGATGGATATATATAGTGTTCCTCTCTTTTTCTTTCTTTCTTCCCCCCCCCCCCCCCCCTCCCGCTCCGTAATCGATATATCTATTCGTCAGACTAACAGATGTGTTGTTAAGGGAGAAAAGATAGTGAATCTTCTTTTACACGTGTTATATAGAAAAAAAATGAAGATGATTCGATTACAGTTTTCACACAAATAAATACTTGTCATAATAAGGTTCTTTTGAAGAATAGTGTCGAGGAAAAACTTCCATATCTCTTTTTTAACACTAACTTATACAACTTACTTATTGTTTGATATGGATTGATTATAAACAGAGATTGTCAAACGTTTTGATGGTGTTGATAAATTATTTTTATTTAAAGGTCTTCAAAAAAAAAAAGGGAAAACATAATAATTACAATCTAATAACTTCTTTTTTATAAAAATATTTTCTTACATATGAAATTTTTCATCATAAATAGGTGAATTAGTTCCATGAATAATTTTTGAACATTGTTCAAAATGATGAGAATATTTAACCTAAATAAACAAATGTTAATTTGTTTTGTCTTTAATGAGGCTGTTAATTTATTTTTTTATCTTACTTTAACACATGTATTCATTTTATCAGAATCTACAATTGATAATTGTCTTGCACGTATTACTAAAACATATTAGAGAACTTGAAGAAAACAGAACAAAATAATAAGCATGAATTTTACCATGTAATGTTAAAATTGAATTATTAGTATGCTCATCATTTGAGATTGAATACGCAATACATAATGAACCTAGAACAAATGAATAAAATGATTTTCATGGAAACAGAAAGAAAAACAATTTTATTTTAATTCTACCTCGTTTTGGTTGTTGTTCAATAGGTTTTTTTGGTTGAAGTTTTTGAGTATCTTTTATTATTTGATCATTCATTGTTTTTGATGGTGATAATAATGTACAAGGAACAAAATATTTAGTTTTTTTTACACAATCAACAAATTGATTTGTTAATGAACGTTTATTAGATGAAGCTGAAGTTAATAATAAACCTTCATAATTATGAAGTTCATCATTATTACTCATTATGATTGAAAAAGGCAAAATCAGAACAATTTTTTTCTTTATCTAGAATGTAACAAAATTTGAGCTGCTGTGAGATTATTTATTTCTCTTGGAGAAAAAAAAAGAAACGAAAACAAATTTTTCAGTCAATTTATACTGTCGTTTTCTTTATATATACATATATATATATATACGTAGTTCGATAGTTTAACCCCCTGTCTCTCATCTAATTATCAGTCTGTCTGTCCAGATATTAGCAGAGACATGCAAAATATAGCTCCCCTGCTAATCATTACAACAGACAGTCTGATTGACTTATATAGGATACAAACATGACGATTGTGAGATGTGGTCAACGAACACCGGTAGTGTTCGAAGAGAAGGTGAAAGGGCGGGGATAGAAAAAGGATTAGAATGACATAATCATATTATATCATTCATTTAATCACTAGCTCTCGATTTTTTTTTAAATGAATAGAAAGATGATATTTTTTTAGCAAGTTCAACGAGCGGAAAAAAAAAACTTTCTTTTCTTCTGATCAATAGCATCGTGATAGCATATGCTGTTTTGTTTTTTCTGTCTTTGCCAAATCATGATATTCTTCTCTCACGCTATATTTTGTTTTTGTTTTTTGACTAATGAACTCTCCTATGTATTGATGAACATAAAATGATAAGATGCACACGTTGATTTTGAACTTATTTTAGGACGCATGCCATCGATCTATCATCGCATGTATACAAGTATTTGACAACGATATGTCATTCGAATTTTTGGACATTCATCAATAGATAGATAAAAAAAAATAAATGTGTCACATATAAAGCTTTTTTCATTATCAAATATATGAAAATATTCGTTTGAATCTCCTAATATTATTTTGTATTTATGATGTAGGAGTGTACCGAGATTGTGATGATTGGAGGGATGGTCCAGGAAGTGGATCAAAAGATTCTTAATAAATTTGATTGAATATAAGGAATTACGCGTTTTTTTATTTGGGAACTGATGAGAAAGAAAAATTATAAAATGTTGAAACTAGGGATGCACTAGTACTAGTGTATCCCTAGCTAGAATTCTGTCGAAGAAAAACGAAAATTTCTAAAGACTCAGAGTTACTCCTGCTGCTATGTCTTTCTTTTGATATCTTATTATGCGTAAAAAAATATACATGTATTAAATGAGTACAAAAAAAGATTTAAAGTAAAATATTTTCGTAATGAGAACTCAACAATGTTAAGAAAGAATTTAATGTTACTAATTCTTACGTAAAGGAAATACTCGATTTAAAATATATTCTACTTCTAATAATCTATTTCGATTCTATATGTAAAAAATAATATTAAATCTTTATTTACAAATTAACTTTAAACTAATTCAATTTTTAATAAAATAAATAAATTACAGGATCAAACATATATCTAAGAAATAATAAAGCTAAGTAAAAGAGTTCGATTGAAATAATCGAATCATACTGAAATTTGAAGTTCGACTAGGCTTATGGGAATAACATTAATAATGAGTGTAATCGTTGATGAAATAGGAAAGTAATTGCCCTTGACGGACAGCTTAATCTTTAACTCACGTAATTCTAAAGCAAGTGAATGTTTTGTTTCTGTTGTTATTTTTTTTCTTCTGTGTATCTTTCTAACGATTTTTTTCGTTACAGCTCATTATTTAAAGGAAATGACAAATCTCCGGAACGAAATCAAACGATTTGCAAATAGTCACCTGCCGTTCATCAACATGATGATAATGTCATATCTGTTTGTATATAAAATTCATCAATGATCCCGAACATGAAACAACGAAAAAGAAAAAAGAAAACCATCATGAACGCGCTCGCTCTCTTTTTCATTTTCTCTGTTCACGATAGTAGTATGTAAACAAAGTTATGAATGAGTAAATATTAAAACGATCCAATTTCTAATAGTGTGAAAAAAGGAAAGAATTCTTACCTCTCTCTCTCTCTTTTTTATTTTTTTTTGTTATATATTGTCGAAACCAATATTATGAAGCTAAGCTGTTTTACTCTTCAAAAGACAAAACAAAGACATGAAAAAAACGATGAGTGTCCAGATTATCTCATCCAAGTTGAACAATCGAATATGTACGTTCATATGTTCGTTCGTTCAAGGTGAGAATTTAATTGTTATTCAAACAAACCGACATTAAATTTTAAAGGCCATGATGAAGAAAACAAAAATACAAAATGAGCATGCATAAAAATCATCCGTTATAGACTATGGCACGCGAGACAAGATGAACACTTGACATAAAAAAAAAAATTTGATTAAAATATACAATCGGTTAGATTATGAACACTGTGCCGACATTCGAAACTTCACAGACTTTCATTCATTGAATATAAAAACATGATATATATAGAACAAACGACTATATTTCATGCTTCTTTAGTTAGCAAGTTAATGTTAATTTTAATTCATATAACAAAATAAAGGATTGTTCAAGTGAAACGTTAAACGATAGAAAAAAAGAAAAAAAATTGTTCCACTATGTGAGCAAACGAGAAGAGTGAATATTTCTCAGGGAAAAAAAAAGCATTCATGTAATCATCACCATCAGTCAAAATGGTCTTTTCATTTATTTGATGTTCATGCAATCTTTTTTTAATGATTACTGCTGTGTTTTTGCCGCTATTTACAGAATATATCAAACAAAAAAAAAAAATTAGTAGCGTCCTCTTGGAAATTATTTCACGAGAGAAAAACAAAAAAAAATCATTGCATAATGAGAAATTTTTATTTAAAAACAACTTACGTGTACCTATTTCGTTTTGTATGCGAATTATGTGAAAATATTCACATATAACATTTCCGTTATTTAGTCAAAAAAACGGAAAATTTGTTTTCTCTATGACTTTTGTTTCTTTTTATTCAATACCATACGGAATGAGAAAGAGATATCATAAGTGTGTGTATCGAAAAACAACCACTTGAGATTGAGTATTAACAAGCAAATGTTGTTACATACACCGGAAAATTGACACATCTGTATCAAATAAATATATGCACTTGATTTTCTTAGTTTTGGTGGAATATTGCTGAACAAAAATTTTCAACAATACTTATATAAAGAAATACATACAAATGATCGAAAGATTCTAATGAAGAAATGTCGTGAGGTTGCCAAGATCGGAGGCAGGTGAATGATTCGAAATGTTAATTGAAAAATTTAGAGAATCGCATATTTTTATTGAGAATTGATAGGTAAAAAAAAACGAATAAAACTCGAAAACTACTCGAGATTCATGCGAAGAAGGTGATCCCATTTGATACACTCCGTCCGATCTTAAGATCAAGATGCAGCAAGTTTACATATGATAGAAATAGTAGGTAACAAGAAGGAAAGAGACAATCAAGGCGTTGTTGTCTTCCGTTGACATATAATATCTTTTGATAAAAGAAACTAATCCAAATAAGAAATCTGATGTCAATATTCACAATTTCATTGTATATAACAGCAAATAATATTTTAACTTACTTTTCTATACATATTTTTTTTTTTGATGTATATAATTAATAATTTAAAATATAGAACAAAATAAACTTCTATATACAGATGAACCGAAACGGACCGAATATAAGTGACAGTGAATTATAATTTTCTATTTTAATGGATCGACAATTTTCACACTTTTAACCAGTACTTTTTTCTGCTTGATGCCATCAACTGACACGCACTCATTTTTTTTTCCTATGATGTTATTCAATTGAAGAATTTATCTGTACCTTTCAATTATGTGCTCATTTATAAAGCAAGAAACCGAATGGTTAAGACAACAATCATCGATGATGTAACCTCCTATTGAGTGAATTGGTATTTTGTTTGAAGTTTTTTCTAGTCTCTTGTCACTATAAACGAGTAGGCGTATATTTAATTGAATAATCACTAAAATACGTATATTAGAAAACGGTTAACTATTACGACATGATCAAAGGACTCATGAAAAAAAAACAGAGAAAATGAGATAAAAAATTTTGAATGTTTATTACAGGTTTATTCAAATATTGGAATAAATCTAAAGATTTCGATCATTCATTATGATTTGTCATTCTTTCTCTGTTGGTGTCTAATTTTTTAGTGCCCAACGGCTGTTCATTTAGTTCGATGAAATCTACACCTCATCAGACGTTATACACATCGATATTTGATCACCTAACTAAATACATACACTCCAGAGAAAAAGAAAACGAAAGGTGGAGAAGCTTTATCATATACACTTATTGTTCTTGCTACGATTTTCCTTCATATATTTATTCTTAATGAGCGCACACACGTGTATATTGAAGAGGAGGGAAGAATGCCCTTAGGATGATGAGGCGTACAATGTTCACCTACTGTGCATTTTACGTCATTGATATAGGTATACAATTGAGCAATCTTTAGAAATATAAAGACATAGGATAAAATATATATATATGGATAAGAATTTATTCTATTAGAGTCAAGTGTTTGTATAGATCTTTTTTTTTGTTCTACTTGTTATTCATGAATACTCAAAATAAAAATAACAACGAGAAAGAATAACAATACTCATCTTTATAATGAGCAGTCAATCGAATAATATCGGACAACATTCAATACCTATTTGCATCTATTTAGACAGATGGTTTGTTTTTTAACCTTTGGAATTCTTTTCTTTTTTTTTTCATATAAAGAATTAAATTTCGCTTCATTAACTATAGACATTTAGATTGAGATCTCAAACGCTTTTTTCTTTTTTTTTGTGTACCCTTATCTATTTCTATATTGACACCTTTATTCCTATAGAGACATATCAATCTCAATCTATAGAAGTGATAATTATTCGTCCCATAGACTGTTGTCAATGTGTATGATAAAAATGAAATAAAAATATTCGATCGTTATATTGAATATTTAAATAATAGGACACGTGTTAAGATTTTACGTGGCAGATGTTTTCTTTTTTTAGACAAAAACCAAAGGTTGAGGAAAATCAAATTTTATGTTAAACTATGACTCGAAGATTTATATG